GAGGAAGGCAAGAATAGTATGGGAAATATAGAATCTAAAGAACTTGAGACACGTGGTCATAAACTAAAGGGGGGGAATGGTGGGGATGGGGGGGTAAGGTGGAGGGGAATGAAGGGGGGAATAGAACAACTTTAGTGGCATAATTAATAAAATATATTAAAAAAAGAAAAAAAAATAATCTAGAGGGCTAATAAGAGGCATCCTTAAGCCCTGGCTGGTGTAGCTCAGTGGATTGAGCGCGGGCCTGCGAACCAGACAATCGCGGTTCGATTCCCAGTCAGGGCACATGCCTGGGTTACAGACCAGTTCCCTGCAGGCCAGTTCCCAGCAGGGGAGACGCACAAAAGGCAACCATACATTGATGTTTCTCTCCCTCTCTCCTTCCCTTCCCCTCTAAAGAGAAATAAATAAAATATTTTAAAAAAAAGAGGCATCCTTAAGAAAATATTAGATGTATGTTATGTTCCAGGTAGATGAAGGAATGGGACCAAAATAGTTTGTCCTTCATTTATTTATTTATTTTAAATGTAAACCCAGCTCTGTTAATATGGTTTAAGACTCATTTTTTTAAAACAAATTATTTTCTTGAAACAAATCATGAAGCCTAGGTCTCTGAGACCCAGGTTCCTAGCAACTTAGTATCTTCCAGAGTTTTAATGACCATTGTAGTGAAAGGAAGTGAAGCATATTTTATGGTACCACTGACGTTCACCTAATTATAGATGGAACTTCCTCTTGGGAAGCAATTTAAAATTTACAATAACGTGAAGAACACAAACTTCTCTCTGCCCATCTTTTACTAGTTGGTTTTATCTTAGGGTTGAGTCATAGAATTCTTATAATCTAGTAAATAGGAGCTCAGAAGTCTTCTTGTTTCATGGTGAGAGAACAAGAACTATTCTACACAAAGTGTCGGGAGTGAGTGTGTTGAGAATGTGCACCTTCTCTCCTGTCTTCCCTTTGCAATAACACCAACTGGTGCAGATAGTCAAGAAAACAAAGGTATAATTTGGATTTAAAAATTTGGAGAATGCTAGACAGTTGTAATCTTCTAGAACACTTGTTTCTTCTGGATAAAGCCTATTTTCTTATGAGAGAGAAACCGGTCCTAGCATCTTTACAAAAAACATCTTGTGATAAAGAAAATGTTGAGAACAAGGAAGGGAAATAAAACACCAGAATTTATGGCTAGAACCATAAAAACACTTTTACTTTCTTTTTAACAAGTGAATTTTGATGCTTATAGACATTGATGCTTACAGACATCGATATAAGCAAACTGCATTGTAATCAGTTTGCTTATAATTAGTAAGAACTACTATTTGTTATAAAATATTAGCTTTATTTAATCCCAACAACAACTATATGAGGCAACTATTATTACCACTGCATCCAACACTAGAAATGAAGAAGTAGAGAGGGTTTAAATCCTGCCAAAGCTCACAGAGTTAATAAGTGCTAGAGATAGAATAGGAAATTCTATCAGGTGCTGAAGACTGTTACCTCCCACAGTACCAGCCTGCTTCTTAGGGGATGGAATACAGTTTTTAATATCATGCATACATGTTACTTTATTCTTACATTTATGTTGACATTTGCAAATTTTTAAAAAAGGACTTGTATTGCTGTCAGGAAATAGAGATTATGGTGAGACATTCCCAACCTTTATAAATAAGATCACCTCAAGAGTGTTCAACTCATCAAACCCAAATCAAACTGCTATGATTAGCCATCTGCATTAAGAATGAAGACATTGTTCATAAATTGCAAATTATTGTTAAAAATATGAGATCTAAGAATCACTTTAGAGACAATATTCTTAGTATGTGTAAAGTAACTCATAGAAATGAGACTGGTTGAACCTATTTGGAAAAAATAAGTAAACTGAGAACAGGAAAGTTAGGCTGAGCCATGTTGAAGCATGAGGAAATAAATGAAAGTCTCAGAATCAAAAAGCGGCAGAGCCCTCCTGGCTGCTCTGGGTGAAATGAGTCTTTGCTAAGTAGCTTCAAGTGTGAAAGTTTCCTTGGCAAGTGTATCCCTCTAGTAGTAGGTGAAACAACTCAGACACTGTTATCTGAAAGTCACTTAAGATAAACTGACTTCTCTTATTCTGATGCCAAGTGTGCTACTGTGGTGGGACAATTTAAGTATCTTGGTCAGTTTAATGGTTATAAACCAGTTCATTGACGTTCTGGTTTACCAATCAGCCTCTGTATGCTGGGTAATATGGGTCTATTTCTACAAATAAGAGAAAGGGAGATGTTCTCTCTCATTATGCATTTCAAACCCAGGTTGTGGTGAAGTGACCAAGGTAACAGCCAATTCCAGGGAACTTTCTGAACATCAAGGGTTTCAGAAAACCCCCTTTCACCTTTTTTTTCATTGGTGAAACCCTCCTTTCACCTTTTTTCATTGTTTCAGACGTCTACCATCTGTACATATCTTGATAACTATATCTGGGTGCCAAAACCCCCTAAAACACTTTGGGTAGAAGTTTCCTGCCCAAAGGAAATAAACTTTGGGCACTTCACTCTGACCTCTGTTATCTATTCAGAATGGTCTCAGAATGGTCATAGGAATGTAAATCACAGCACAGAGAATACAGTCAATGATATTCTAAGAACTATGTGTGGTGTTGGATGGGTGAGAGACCTTCGGGGTGATCACTTAGTGAGCTATATAATGTCTAATCACTGGGATATACACGTGAAACTGATACAACAGTGTATGTCAACTGTAACTGAAAAATAAAAAATGATTAAAAAAGGAGATATAATCCATTAGCACTTAAAGGAGACCTGTGCTTAAACAGACTATTCTATGATTATTCATTTGCTGTAAGAGATAGCCTCTTACTGTCCTCGTATCTCACCCACCTGAGGCATGTATCAACTAGGAACAAAAATTCTGAGAAACTTTTGTTTATACACACACACACACACACACATATACACATATACATATAATTTAGAAATCCTGAAAAAACTTGTTCATACACACACACATATATACATGTGTACATATAATTTAGAAATATTTCTAAATTCTAACAAGGATCCTTGTGTAGGGCAATGCAGAACTAAAAAGGGATGCAATGAATTTGTAATTTGCAATGTCATTTTAGGATTTTGTTAATATTAATAATTATATTTTTTAATGTGGTATGGTGAAGAAAATAAGTTTGGTAATAACTATCTTTGAATGATGTAAAAACTCCAGGTATTGCAGAGAAGCTTCTCTACACTGGCATTTACTCTTCATTTCTATGCCAGCAAGCTCTGTAGAGAAAGCTAACCAAAGGCTATACAAACTGGAACTCAAGGGACCTGGCCTGAAAGCATAGGTCTCCTTTGAGCACTGCCTAAGGGATTGTATCTCTTTTTAAATCATTTTTTATTTTTCAATTACAGTTGACATACACTGTTGTATCAGTTTCAGGTGTATGTCCCAGTGATTAGACATTATATAACTCACTAAGTGTCCAGCCCCGAGGGCCTCTCACCCATCCGACACCACACATAGTTGTTAGAATATTATTGACTGTATTCTCTGTGCCATGCTTTACATTCCTGTGACCATTCTGATACTGTCCATTTGTATGTCTTACTCCCTTCACCTTTTTCACCCAGCACCCTCAGTCCCCCTCTGGCAACCATCAAAATATCCCCTGTGTCAATGAGCCTGTTACTGTTCTGCTTATTTAGTTTGTTTTTTAGATTTGAGTGTTGGTAGATACGTATTTGTTGCCACTTTGTTGTTCATATGTTAGTCTTTCATATCTTCACCCTTTTGTTATAAGGCGGCCTGCCCTGGCCAGCCTCTGCTGCCCCACTTTGTTCACCCCCCACTCACGCAGGTGAGCCCCAGAGGGACAGGCACAGCTCTCCGGTGCTCTGCAGCCATCGACTCACATCTGTCACAAAGGGACCCTTCATTCTACCCTGTTAACTGTGCATTTAATTTAAAAACTGCTGTGACCAGTAGTAGCCCACTGCTTCCTCTTCCATCCTCCATAAATTTCTTTTTTATTTGTTGCTCACTGTTTGGTCAGGCAGCTCCACATAAATGTCAGTGTGTTCCTATGGGTGCAGAATATGTTATGCTATTCCACAGGAAATTAACTCCACTATGCATTGGTGGCTATGTTCCTAAAGAGAAAAATAATGCGCATACATACACACATGCAACCCTTGTGAAACCTCTGAGACAAATAAAGTGAAAAGATGACGAGGCAAGAGAGTGTTTCTAAAAGTGGCACTTGATGAGGAAGCAGAAGTGTCAGCTTTACAAAATAAAATACTCAGTAGGGAGGAGCGTGGTTTATTTCAGAGTTCTTAAAGTCATGGAATCCTCCATGACTTTTCTTTACTGAAGTTCAGTAAAGAAAATAACTAGAAATGCACTTCAGGTTGACTAAAACAGATTGCCTGAGAGATCTGGAAGTTAAAAAGTATCCTTCAAGGTAACACAACACAATATTGTGAATACTTTCTTTTGCTGGCTTGAATCAAAGGTAACCAATAATTCTATATTTTTTTAAAAAGTCATTTGACAAGTATTAGTGAAACTGAAGGCATATGAAAAATATTTATCAAAAGAAAAATAGCTTTTGCATTTTCCCATTTTGCACAAATATACAGTCACTAGAACCCACTACAGAATGCTTGTATCACAAAACGTTTACTTCTGCCTTTTCTTAAATTTGCAAATATTATTTGATTTGTCATCACTTTGACTTTTTTTCACATTTCGATCACAGTGTCTGAAATATCTTTTGTGTTGACTCTTGCAGAAAGCCAAAAGACAAATGAAGAAGAATAAACAAAGTCAGGCATTATGTCTATTTTAACTGTCAGGTGGCTAGGTACCAGCAAAAAAAACAAGCAAACAGAAAAGCTTGGATTTGTAAAACAGTTTTAAAATATTTGGATTTATTATTGTATTTTAATGTCATAGAAGCACAAACTTTCAGTATTTCATTGTGAAAATGAAAAAAAAACTAAGCAGGAGTATGAAGTGGCATGTCTGCCCATGTGAGGCTGTGCAGTGGATGAGTGGACACTGCTTCACAGAAAAAGCAGACCCCTTGCTGTGTACCAAGTCCTTTTTGTCTCCCTTCTCTTCCTGGAATATGGCAAACCTGCAGTTCCTGTAGCTAGTCATAAAAGAAGAGATAAGCTAATGTAAGGTGTTTTCTCAGTAAATAGAACTGTGTGCTCACATCACTAAAGATGAAGCTTCCCATAACGAATGAAAGGTCTAAGTCTCTTCATTCCATCTGAAGGTTCAGATTAATTACCCTTTTCAGTCAAGGTCACTGACAGCGTAAAGAATTTCCAGGCCCCCTAGAGCCAAGTGTTATCTTTCTCATACAGAAACCATGGATGCTTAAGTAAATCAATACATGGCAATTAGCAGGTAATGGGCATGATTTTAAAGCAGAAACGAAATATGATGATCTCGCTACAGTACACATCTGGCTAGTCATAAGTGAATAATTGCTGCTATCTTGTTGGTTTAATAAAAGATCCATTGCAATATAGAGAGAAAAGGGGTTATCCGAATATAGAAAAAATCCAGTTATGAAATTTTTGAATTTTTGCTGTTCTTAAAAAATGATTTACTGGGACTTATTCTTGGAATGGCCTGCCTCTGGAGAAGATTGATTTTGCAGTATTGTATTTTTGAATTTTTATGGTAAACTATTTTGTAGAGCAGTTTTAAGTTTACAGAAAAGTTATTGAGCAGAAAGCATTGTTCTTATGCACTCCACCCCCCTCCCCACAGTTTCCCATTATTAACATCCTGCATTAGTCTGGCACATTTGTTACAATTGATGAACCGATGCTGATACACTACTGTTTACCTTAGCAGTCACCCTTCACGTGGTATACCTCTATTGCTTTGACGAATGCACAGCGTCAGGCATCTGCCGCTGCAGTGGCACACGGCTACTTCCACTGCCCTTAAAACCCCCTGTGCTTCCTCCTACATCTCTAGAAAAGATTTGGTACTGTTATATTTTTATGTATGAAAGCCTGACATTATTATATATTAACCATAACAGTATATTTTATACACATTTCAAGACTGATTTAGGAGCCAGAACACTGTGATTTTTCTTCTTAGAACATCTTTAATACTCTTTCATTATACATCATTTCTATAAATTTTTGTGGTTGTTAGTATAACAAAGTAAGAATTTAGGACTTGTCCTGAACTCAGGGAATTTGTAATTTAAGTCAAATTAAATGAATGGATGAAGTCTTAAATAATACAAGGCATCATAGGGCAGGCTAGAAAGTAGTAGGATTAAGTGCTGAATGAGTGACAAATAACACTGGGGACTGTTCAATAAAGGGCATGAGGTTAGGAGAAAGGCCGAGTGGACTAGAAGGGGCTGGAAGAGGAGGGGACTGTGGGCGGTCTAACAGAAGGAAGGGCATTCGAGGCAGGTAAGAGCTGTGTCAAGGCTCTGTGAAGGGGACATTTTTATGCTATGTCTCTGATGTTCTCGAAGCACAGGCAGCTTGTGAGGCTCTAGTTAGTCCCATATACCAAGTGCTTTTGCCCACATTCCTTACTGGGAACTTGCCAGTTTCCTGGTGGCAGTCCAGGGCAGCAAGACCTTCCTCTCTGCTCCCAAGACTTACCGTCTTTGCCTCCTCAGATTGCCGGACTTCAGCCTGGAAAATCTCTTCCCAGTTTAGAAAAACCTTTTCACTTCATGTTGCTATGCTCAGAAGTTGCAACATGAGCTTACGCTATCAGGGGGGTGGGGACTAAAAGAGGAAGTGAATAAATATATTTTTTTAGCCTGTTTCAAATGCTCTCTCAGGCAAAGTAGTTCAGGGATCTCCATATTTGGGGCAGGTTAGAGAAAAAGGAAAAAAGGGAAACACGAGAAGAAAATTAAAACAAAATTTAGATTAATATCTAAACATCCTGTCTTATCACACAAATAACCAACTCAAATTTCTGAACCTTGTTTCAAAATTAGTATCAGACCCAGAAATGGCTGCTGTTACTAAGTCACATCTTGTTCCCATCTCCTAGAAATGTTGAGAACAATTTCTTTTTTTTTTTCTGCGTGGCTAAAGAAAACAGTATTAAATTAGCAAGACAACCAACTGTATGGGAAAACATATTTGCCAATGATACCTCAGACAAAGGTTTAATCTCCAAAATATACAAAGAACAATTTCTAATGACAACAGACCAAGGACTGAGGGATGAGTAACTCACAAACAGGCTTTAACCATGGGGTAGCACAGGGGGCAAACAGGACCAGTTTAACAAGGAAGCCCCAGATGTGCTGACTTGGCTTCAGGGGGATTCAACCAGTAAGACTTGCAGTTTAAGGCAACAGATTGAACTTCACAGGAAAATCTTTGCAGGACCTTAAGTCAGGAAGTTAGGATAATAATAAGTATTCTAGGTCCATGTGAGCAGTTTGTAACTTGTGGAACATTAAGAATTTGATAAAATAACACAAGGAGACAGTAAAAAGTCTGTGTTGTGCCCCTTCCTAAAACGATGCCCCTACCTCTGTGTAGTTGAGCCAGGGTAAGAGAGCCCCAGAAGCTGGCATTCATCATGCCATGGCAGAGAAATCAGATGCGTTGGTGGTGAAACTGGGGTGGAAGAGCAGAGGTTGGACAGAGTCTAGTTAAAGGGAACTTCCTTCTCTACTCACAGCATTTCTGACACCAAATGTGTGGGTTTTCCACATCAAACAGTTCTCCAGTTCTTTGTGGACAGCAACTGGGTGTCCTACCATTTAATTCCTTCTGACACTAACTACCTGGACTTAGTACAGACTCCCCACGTGAAGGGCTCCATTTCATCACCCTGCTCCCCACCATTCAGACAATTACCCAGATTCCCCACACTTCTGTGTGACTTGGCTGCAAACTGGGCATTCCTAAGACCTTCTCCTCAGGTTCCATAACTTGCTTATTAAACAACTCACAAAACTCAGGGAAACACATTTACTGGTTTGTCGTAAAGGATATTTTTATTACGATATTTTTTATCTTTTTTAAACAATATTTTTTTAAATAATGTAAAAAGGATTTTAATACTTGTGCATCTTTTTAAATGATATTTTTAAAGTATTTAAAAATATTTATATGTTTTTAGAGAGCAGGGAAGGGAGGGAGAAAGAGAGAGAGAAATATCAATGTGTGGTTGCCTCTCACATGGCCTCTCCTGGGGACCTGGCCTGCAACCCAAGCACAGGCCCTGACTGGGAAATGAACTGGCAACTCTTTGGTTGGCAGCCCACACTCAATCCACTGAGCTACCCCAGTCAGGGCTGCAAAAGGTGTTTTAAAGGGACATAGATAAACAATCAATCAGGGGAAGAGGTACGCAGGGTAAATTCCAGAAGGCTGCTGAGCTCAGAAACTCTGTCAGTGTAGAGCTGAAATGTGGAATGGTCCTTGCACATGTTCACCAGCCTGGAAGCTCTTAGAAATCCTTTCATTTAGGGTTTTTTATGGAGACTTCATTATGTACGAATGATGGATTATTAACTCATCCTCCAGTCACTTTCCCCTTCCTGAAGGACAGTGAGTGGTGGGGCTGAACATTCTATACTTCTAAGCATGGCCTGTTCTCTCTGGTGACCACTCCCATCCAGGAGCCCACCCAGTCACCTAGATGGGACAAAATACCCTCCTATAACCCTGGAAATTCCGAGAGATATAGGAGGTCTGTGTCAGGAATCAGTGCCAAAAAACAAATATTAAAAAAGATGTTCCTAGCACCACTTCCACTCAGGATATTAGAAGGGTTTCGGAGCCCTGTGCCTGGAACCCAGGACAGGCAGAGATCAAGGGCACATTTCTTAAGTGACAGTGCGGTGCTTATGCTGTGTTTGTCTGAAACAGAGAAGAAATACTCATTTAAAAAATAATTTTCTGTACACTCAGAAATGTAGTCTTCAGTATCTATCACTGTCTAATTCTCACACACTGCCTGAAAAGAAGTGGCCACTCGGTAAATATTTGGTAATAAAATTTGGGTTTAAATGTGGGTATAATGAATGGAGAAGTCAAAAATACAGCTTATTATAGGGTTTTTTCTTAGAAGATTAAAACAGCACACATCTGTTCTCTCACAGGTTCCACCATCCGATTCCAGGAATGGCTTTATGGGTCCTCCCTCAGCTATGCGCCATAAGGTGACAAAGTGTGAGTGGGTTGCAGTCTTTCCGGGAACGGGGTCTTTTTCCAAGCTCAGATGGCTGTTGGCAGAATTCAGTCCTGGCAGCTGTAGGACTGAGGTCTGCCTTTGTTGCTCTCATCAGCTTCGGACACCTCTCACCTAGAAGGCTGCTTAAAGACACTTTCAGCTTATGTCTTCAAGGCTGTTGGGGGTAATTATTCTTTAAGGCTTTCATCTGATTAAATCATGCCCACTGAGGATAATCTCCCTTTTGATTAACTCAAAATCAACTAATTTGAGGTCTTAATTACATCTGCAGAATGTTTTCACCTTTGCCACACTCTTCTCATGGCATTTTAGAATTCAGCCTGGACCAAGGAAAAATTAATTGTCTAAAGTTTCTCTCTCATGTCAGCTTGTAGAAAATATTGCAATATTATTGTCATTTCTAATCTTTCATCTAAATTGAGATGCCAAAAACATAAAACATTTTCAAATTTCAATTGCTTAGCCAGGCATCATAGAATCATCTAAATATTAGAAAATAAATAGGAAACACATTAGTCTAATTCTTTTTATCTACAATGTGTTCTCCATTGTTCATATAAAATTATCAGAAATATAAACATTCAGTAATAAATGGAAATATTTACAACTGATTGAAAAAAATCAGGTCAAGTAAATAATTTTACTTATATCACAACTCCCTTTTTCAGATCTGAGGAAAATATGCCAAATGTAACATTATTTAGGCCACAGACACTCAGCTATATTTCTACAAGTACTACTTGAATGAACCGTTTGATCTGTGAAAAGGCAAGTTAAGCTCTTTTCTTGATTTAAAAAATGTTTTCGAAGCATTCATGTATTAGGTAAAATATATTTCCCGAAAATACTTTTACACTATTCTGACTGTGGAGTACTTTATTTTTTCACGGGGTAGGGGGACGTAATTTACACAAGTTTTAATATTGTCTCTTTAAATTTTTATATGCTCAACCGGCAAAAAAATGAGCTTCCAGCAAATAAAAGTATGTCAGTGGGGAAACTCACAGTGATTGTTCTCGGCTGGAAGGATTCAATAAGTGTCGAGTTCCAAGCAGGCTGAGGCAATGAACTGGAAAAGACTAAGAGAATGTGAGGGTGAAATAATCTATCTTCTATCACCGACTGATCATGTTCCCAGTGCCATCCTCTGGAAGTAGCTTTGAGGTTAGCTTTCCTTTCTCTGCCTTTTCTCTGCCTTTCCAGCAGCTGCGAGCGGGAGCTCCCTGCACCAACACCTGCCCAGAAATCAGGGCACTGCTCACGGTTGGTAACAGGATAAGCCTGTAACCTAAGAAGAGCCCTGCTACCGCCCGGTCTGCTCTTTCATGTGAGGGATTCTTCTAACCTGTAATACCTGCCTCACGGGTTTGTTACTGACGGTCTAACAGGAAGATAGTCATAGAAGTGTTTTGTAGGTATAATCTATATAAATGTTAGTTATATATAATGTCCCAGAAAGTACACAAAAATATATATGTCTATGTATATATACACACCTATTCAATTCTCTTCACAGCAAAGTCATTAAAAAAAACTGTTGTCTGATAATAATTCTGTGAACTCACAGTGTCTTTCACCTTGTGTACTCTGGAACTTTTTAAATAGTAAAATAAAATAAAATTTAAAGTCTATATAACTCTCCAGAAACTGAACTAAGGATTTTATCTGAAAAGAACATGGCATGGACCTCTGTCTCCCCCTACTCGGGCTCTCTCCTGGCCTTGAAAGGTTTGGCGGAGCATAATTATTTTTACTTGAAAGCCTGAGGTTTTCAGAGACAGTGAGGACAGCCCACGACAGAACCCAGGTGCCTTCGTTTCAGTCCCCTCTGTGCATGAACCATCATGCTGCTTATTTTAAATAATTGCTGTTTTGAACTAGAAAAGTTAAGTATACCCACAAGACCACAAATGTTGGACTAATTCATGAAAAATTCTGTTAGTGAATAAATTCCTATATAGATGTCAAGTTCCAGATTGTGTTTTAAATTATCCCAAACCTAAAGAAAAAAAAAGATATACACCCTTACGAAGCTTTTTTCTTTTCATTTTAGACTCAAGAATAATATTCCCTCAAATACAATTAGCTGTTTTCATTTTCATACGTCTATCTAAACAGTCCAAAGAATTCCAAAGAGTGAAGAAGAAAAACTGAACATGGGTAAATATTGGATAACAACAGCCAGTACCTAGAGTGTGAGGTTGAATTGGATCTCATTATATAATATAAAAAGGATTACAAAACCCACAGCATGAAGGAGGTCTGCACCTCGTCTTTCAACCTGACCGTGTTGTGAAACCGCAGGAGTTGCATGTGTAGCTCAGAGAGGCTGGATGCAGGATTGCAGCAGGGAACAAAATGGTACAAGCAAAGTCCGTTCTCATTACCGATGCACAATTTTATTGTCTTTAGATAGCATAATTTTTGTTATCAAAATACCTTCGACACATTACATCAAAAATACAATTATAAATGCCTTATAAATTCTCTCAAGCTGACAAAATA